CCTCCTGCTTTCTCCACTCTGCGCGCTGCTGACGACGTGTTTTTCACGCCCGCGTGCAACAGATGGCAAGTCATCCTGCTTTTTCCATTCCGCACGCGCTGCTGACGACGTGTTTTTCACGCTTGCGCAACAGATGGCAAGTCGTCCTGCTGTGTCCACTCCGCGCGCGCTGCTGATGATGCGTTCTTCGCGCTTGCGCAACAGCGGGTAAGTCCTCCTGCTCTCTCCACCCCGCGCGCGCTGCTGACGACGCGTTCTTCACGCTCGCGCAACAGCTGGTAAGTCTTCCTGCTTTCTCCACCCCGCGCGCGCTGCTGACGACGCTGCTGACAACGTGTTTTTCACGCCCGCGCAACAGGCTGTAAGTCCTCCTGCTTTCTTCACTCCGCACGAGCTGCTGACGACGTGTTTTTCATGCTTGCGCAACAGGCTGTGAGTCGTCCTGCTTTCTCCAACACGCATGCGCTGCTGACGACGTGTTCTTCACGCTCGCGCAACAGCGGGTAAGTCCTCCTGCTTTCTCCACCCCATGTGCGCTGCTGATGACGCGTTCTTCACACTCACGCAATAGTGGGTAAGTCTTCCTGCTTTCTCCACTCCGTGCGCGCTGCTGACGACGTGTTTTTTCACGCCCGCGCAACAGGCTGTAAGTCTTCCTGCTTTCTCCACCCCGTGCGCGCTGCTGACGACGTTTTTTTTCACGCCCGCGCAATAGGGTGTAAGTCGTCCTGTGTTCTCAGCTCTACGTTCCCTGCTGACGACGTGGTTTTCGCACCCGTGTAACAGGATGTAAGTAGTCCTGCTTTCTCCACCCCGTGCGCGCTGCTGACGTGTTTTTCATGCCCACGCAACAGCTGAGGATGTAAGTCATCCTGTGTTCTTCACTCCGCGCGCCCTGCTGATGACATGTTTTTCGCGTCCGCGCAACAGGCTGTAAGCAGCCCTGCTTTCTCCACACCGCGCGCGCTGCTGACGACGCGTTCTTCACGCTCGCCCAACAGCTGGTAATTCTTCCTGCTTTCTCCACCCCGCGCGTGCTGCTGACGACCCCTTTTTCACGCTCGCACAACAGCAGGTAAGTCGCCCGGCGTTCTCCACTGCGTGGACCCTGCTGACAACGTGTTTTTCCGCCCGCGCAACAGAGTGTAAGTCGTCCTGTGTTCTCCGCTCCGCACGTGCTGCTGACCACGTGTTTTTCACGCTCGCGCCTCAGATGGCAAGTTGTCCTGCGTGCTCCCCTCCGCACGCGCTGCTGACGACGTGTTTTTCACGCTCACGCAACAGATGGCAAGTGGTCCTGCGTTTTCCACTCCGCGCGCACTGCTGACGACATGTTTTTCATGCTCGCACAACAGATGGCAAGTGGTCCTGCATTTTCCACTCCGCGCGCGCTACTGACGACGTGTTTTTCATGCTCGCACAACAGATGGCAAGTCGTCCTGCTTTCTCCACTCCGAACACGCTGCTGACGACGTGTTTTTCACGCTCGTGACACAGGGTGTAAGTCGTCCTTCTTTCACCATTCCGTGCGCGCTGCTGACGACGTGTTTTTCACGCGCGCGCAACAGAATGTAAGTAGTCCTGCTTTCTCCACTGCGCGTGCGCTCCTGACGATGCGTTTCACGCCCACTCAACAGCGGGTAAGTCCTCCTGCTTTCTCCACCCCGTGCGCGCTGCTGACGACGCGTTTTTCACGCTCGCGCAACAGGCTGTAAGTCCTCCTGCTTTCTCCAACCCGTGCGCGCTGCTGACGACGCCTTCTGCACGCTCACGCAACAGAATGTAAGTAGTCCTGCTTTCTCCACCGCGCGCGCGCTGCTGACGACGTGTTTTTCACGCTCGTGCAACAGCTGGTAAATCCTCCAGCTTTCTCCATCCCACGCGCACTGCTGACTCCGCGTTTTTTACGCTCGCGTAACAGCGGGTAAGTCCTCCTGCGTCTCTGTTGGTGCGCGTTGCTGACTCCGCGTTTTTTTACGCTCGCGCAACAGCGGGTAAGTCGCCCTGCCTTCTCCACTGCGTGCGCGCTGCTGACGACTGCTTTTTCACGCTCGCGCAACAGCGGGTAAGTCGCCCTGCGTTCTCCACTGCATGCGCGCCGCTGACGACTGCTTTTTCACACTCGCGCAACAGCTGGTAGGTCGCCCTGTGTTCTCCACTGCGCGGGCCCCGCTGACGACGCGTTTTTCATGCTCATGCAACAGCTCGTAAGTCGCTCTGCGGTCTCCACTGTGCGCGCCCTGCTGACGACGCCTTTTTCACGCTCGCACAACAGGAGGTAAGTCGCCCAGCGTCCTCCACTGCGTGCACCCTGCTGACGAGCCTTTTTTTACGTTTGCGCAACAGGAGGTAAGTCGCACCTCCAATACCATGTGTCCCCATGTCTGACACAAATTTTCCCCGTCTCAGGAACGTGCTGAACTTTTGAAGTTCAAAAATTCCCATTAACGGATCCACATTTGGATTGAAATTGCTCACGTACGTCTGAGTTACTCTACATATATATGATCAATCCCTCTAACTTCTCTCGACATGTTCAGGATGGTAGAGCTGTAGATATTGCGTGGGTCCTCTTGTTTCCCAACCTCGGGAATAGTACATATTGACTGTCCTTGTAAATCCACATATCTTCCTGGATCGGCTCTGGAATGCCACATACCGTCTTAGACGGTCGGCGAAGCGAGAAATATGACCATCGGGTGTGAATCTGGCATGTAACGGGCAATGCAATATTCATGCCGTTCGGTCAATTCAATGATTAATAAGCATCTTGTCCCTGTTGCCGTGTTTGAGCATCTATAATAGTGGCTCGTCGTGATTACGGACATAAGTGTCGTGTCGATATTTCTGCATGGTGTCCAATGACGACTCTTAGCACAAGCGCATCAGCTGGCGCATCACGGAAATTGCCGGTAACGCGCCACAAATTCCAAATTCGACCGAGAGCTGTCTGTAATTAAGAATTATTTAACTAGCGTAAAGTAATGGCAAGCAAAATGATAACGAAGTAAGTAAGAGTACACTACAATACGGCCGAGACAAGAGTATACAGCAGGGCAAACAGTTACAAGAAGTACAAGATGCGAATATGTAAATGCAGCAGCAATATGTGAGACACGTGGGTGAGCAAGCATGGGCAAGAAGCGCACGGGGAATTAGGTATTATGTAGTGTAATCGGTCGCGAGGCAGGGAGTGTGGTGTGTTGTGTGTAAGAGGGAAACGAAGAAGGATGGCCGGGCTACCCATCGCAAGCGGACTGGTCCGCAGTGTGATAGACCGAGGCGGGAAGCTCGTGGGTGCAGGTTGTGCGGGTGCAGCGCAGAGCGAGCGGGAATGGCGAGCCGGAGCGATGAACGTGCGGTGCGAGGGAGCGGCTGCGTGCGAGTCTGTCGCGGGGTGTGGGAGTCGGTGTGGGCGGCGCGTAATACGAACAGAGCGAGGGGGAGTTGAGGGAGTGGACTGGAGAGGAGGGCGGGGTGTGAGGCCCAGTCCGATGACTATCGTTGAGCCAGGTATCGTGGATTGGGAGAGGAAGGGACAGAGGCAGTGGTCTGCGGCGCGGGCGGCGGCGGGGGTGTCGAGCTGGGAGAGGGCAGGACGACGCATGAGCGATGCACGACGCGGACGGCTGCCTTGGCGAAGGGATCGTAGTACGTGCTCAGATCGTCCGAATCTTTCCGCGACGGTGAGTACGGGATCGCGACGGCAGAATTCTTGTAAATTTCACTAGTCTACCGCATTTGTTAACAAGGATTACGCGCGAAAATCGATACTGGGGGTTCAGCAAAACGAGGCATGAGTTGATACCTTGTTGAAGCGTCTGTCTAGGAGAGAATACACTGGGGGTTACCGCGGTCCTTTACGGCGGCGGATTGTCGTTTGATGACATCTTGCACAAGGCCAGTTTGAGTTCGGTTCGTTACGTACGCTAGACTTGCCTTTACTTCATCTCGGTCCCGAGCTACGGCTGCGCGTCTCCAGGATTTCTGCAAAGTTCTGAATCAAAAAAAGATTCGACCAGGCGCGTACCAAGATGGGGTGCAGCAAAGAAATAAAAACAGTAGTCCTGGCAAATGGTCATCATCGATCTCGCGTGGAGCCCATAGAAACGCAATTATCTATGATCCGCATTCTTTCGGTTGCACTTCTCTTCTGCGATAGGAACCCGTACCGAATGCCGGACACAAATAGGAATGCAGCTGCCTGGTGCGGCTGAATCCTCTCTAATCGCACATTTGCTCTGTTAGGAATCTGATGGTATTGAATATTTGCCTATGCAATTCAGGGCAGGGTAAAGCTGAGGGGGAATGGGAACCGGCGGTACGTGGTGTACGATACCATTAAATACAACATGTGTCATGGCGATCAAGGCGATATGGGGTTTGATTCCCCGCCGGTGCTTTCAGTGTGACCTCGGAGCAATTTTTTCCCTAACATTACTCACATCTCCCAGCAAGTTGTCGTTGCATGCTCGTGGTAGGCACAAACCAGCTTACAGATGGTATGCCAAAAGGGTGCCAGGAAATAATTATCCTTGATGGCAATGTTGAACTTGGGCACTGCCAGCGCTTTTTTTCTTCAAGCCAAAGACTTTTTTTAACCCATCAGATTGGCCGCCTGTGCAATTGAGGGTGGTGTATATCAAGGTGAAGAAGGAGGGAATAAGCACCGGTAGTGCATGGTGCTTGCATGGTGCACGCTGCCCTAAAATTTGAATGCGCAGGGGATGTCAAGCAGATCGGGGTTCGATTCCCCACCGGTGCATTCGGCGTAGAGCATCCCTTTTTTTCTTCCATTTGCTTTCGCGCTTCCTCATCACATTTTCGTTTACTACAGAGGCCTAGATATTATATCGACAAATTTATTGGGGGACGTGTAAGGGATTCATCGTCAATAAATCGACCGACCGTAAACGGTATTGGCCTGGCATTGGCCATTGTGTGAGTCACACAGTGTGATTTAAAGCTGTATAAATCTTGGTGAAGAAGGATGGGAATAAGCGCCGGTGGTGCAAGGTGCACTTCCCCGTTACGTAGAAGCCCTGATACATATTGTCTAATTCAGGGAAGATCGGGGTTCGATTCCCCGCCGGTGCATGAGCCCCATGGACCTCACTTTTTTCTCCTATTTGCCTTCGCGCTTCCTCATCACATTTTAGCTTACTACGAAGGCCTAGATATTGTATCGACAGATTATTGGGGAAGTGTCGTGGGTATTAATGTGGCTAAAGACATGTAGCTATAGCCGAAGTTGATCCAACCTCAAGAACTGACCTACTATAGTGCTATTCGGTTATTTAGAGTTGTATAAAACAGGGTCAAGAAGGATGGGCATAAGCACCGGTGGTACAAGGTGCATACCGCTCTCGAATGTAGATCGTTCATAGATGTCGAGTTTAGCGGTGCAGAGTTCGATTCCCCACCAGTGCTGGCGTGATCGAGCCTTTTTTTTCTGGCCGTAAGTTTCAGCTCCTTGTCTTGCCCCAGGGGACCTAGTATATTGTATCGCTAGATCATTGAGAACGTGTCGGGAACGTGAAGAAGACATCAACCGGACTGTAAAACGACATTGGCCATTGTGTGAATTCCACAATAGTCACCATGTGAATTCCACAATGGCCCACGGTGTGATTTAGAGCAGTATAACTTATGGTCACGAAGAATGGATACAAGCACCGGTGGTGCGTGGTGCACGCTACCCTTCAGTCTAAAGTCAGACTTGCAGGCAGATGGAGGTTTGATTCCCCGCCGGTGAATGATATATCCAGCACAATCTTTTTTTCTAACTGTTTCCACCCCGACATCTCAGGAAATTTTTGTTCACTACTAAGGCTAAGATTATATCGACAGATTATTGGGAAAGTGTTGTGGAGGTATCGATGTGGAAGAATCCCTATACCGATGTTCTTATGTAAAGTCGAACTACAGTGATGACATCGGCCATTGGATGATTAGAGCTGTATAAATCAAGGTCAAAAAGGATAGATATAAGCATCGGTGGTGCATGGTGCGCGCTGCCCTAAAGTAAGAAGACTTTCAGTTGCAGAATGTCAGGCAGACCGGGGTTCGATTCCCCCCCGGTGCATTGCGTCCGCAGTGATGGATCTTTTTTTCTGGCTGTATGTTTCAGCTCCTTGTCCTGTCCTGTAGACCAGGATGCTGTATGACAGATCATTGGGAACGTGTCAGGAACTTAAAGAAGAAATCAACCAACTGTAAAATGACATGATTGACCATCGTGTGAATCACATAATGCCACAGTGTGAATCACACAACGGTCCACAGTATGATTTAGCGCTATATAAAAGGGAGTCGGCAAGGATGGGCATGTGCACCGGGGGTGCAAGCTTAAGGTGCACGTCCCCGTTACCTACCAACTGTGTAGATGGTTACAGTCTAAATCAGGGAAGAGCAGGGTTCAAATCCCCGCTGGTGCATGCTAAAGTGGGAGTCGGAGTCTTTTCCCCCCTCTACCTGTTTTCACCAGTCCTGGCACAATCATGAAGTCGTCGTAATGTCGTTTTCTCCGGTCAGCCAATATGTACTTGAAAATAAAATAAGAAAGCAAAATCTTGAGAAAGCATTGATCGGGTTCTGCGCAGACCCGAGATCACTCGTACTGCGATTATGGTACTGTTGGCCATTGTGTGATTTAGAGCTGTATAAAAGAGAGTCAAGAAGGACGGATACAAGCACCGGTGGTGCATAGTGCACGCTGCCATTAAAGACCGGCGTTTCAGGCAGATCGGGGTTCGATTCCCACCGGTGCATGCGGCGGGATTACACGCCTCCTTAGCGTATTTTTGTCTGGTCTTGAGGAACTAGATATTATATCGCCTAAATATTGGAAAGTAAATGGTTCATCGAGAGCATATTGGAGAGGCACATATTGATGTTGATTCGACTTTGAGAAATTGACCAATTGACCATTGAGTGATTTAGAGCTGTATAAAAGAAGGATGTCCGAGTCAGGCAGACCGGGGTTCGACTCCCCGCCGGTGCATAAACTGATTCCAACCCTCTTTTTGTTTCTTCGCTCTTCTCTTAACCGCAGAACCAACTGCACCACCTCAAATATAATCCTAGTGTGGGCTTTGTAATTTATAAGGCCCCACCTCAACCCCACCTGCCGGTTCCTCCCGAGCACCGCCACACGCAGCTTTTGTCAAGATCTGTAAATGCGCGGAAGGCGCAATACCTCAGTCTCCCGCTATGTGGGATCAAAGACTGTATATTAAATACCTGTAAATGCGCGGAAGGCGCAATACTGTACAGGATAAGTAAAAGTATGAAAAGTAAGTAATGAACTCACCCTCAGTCTCCCGCTATGTGGGATCAAAGACTGAGGGTAAAAGACGAGGGCATAGGGTTTATATACATATCTACTGCTGTATCAATCTGACATCTGTCAAAGTCTATTATGGGCCAGAGGCCAGGGCGCTCTGTGGAATAGTTTATTTCCTGACACCCCCACTCGACCCAGGCCGTAGTCCCATTGAAAGACAGAACTTCAAGTGCTTGTCATGGGGAAGAGCTTTGGTGAAGATGTCTGCCACCATATCCTCTGTTGGATACCAGAGCACTATGCATTCTCCATGCCTCACCAAGTCATCTCGCACAAAGTGGTACTTGCGCTGTATATGCTGAGTTCGTGCACGATATTGTGGGTCCTGAGATAGTATGATGGCAGCTCGATTGTCACATCGCAGTTCAGTGGGATCCTTCTGTGGCTGTCCGAGCTCTTCGAAGAAGGATCGAAGCCATGCCAGGTGCTGTCCTGCATTTGCAAGCCCAATGTACTCGCTTTCAGTTGATGATAAAGCAACCATGGATTGTCTTCGGCTTGACCAACCAATAGCTCCACGATTTGCAATAAAGACATAGCCTGATGTGGAACGAGAAGTGTCTTTGTCTCCATTCCAGTTTGCATCGCTGTAGCCATAAAAAGTCAAGTCCATCCCAAGATCAGCTCCATCAAAATGCAGTGACCAATCTCGTGTTCCTTTGAGATAACGAAGAAGTCGCTTTGCAGCAGCCCAGTGAATCTGTTTTGGATTTGAACTGAAACGTCCAAGGACTCCCACAGTGTGTGAAATATCAGGACGGGTTCCAAGCATTGCGTACATTGAAGATCCAACAATGCTTTGATATGAGACAACAGGACCTCCTTCAACAAGAGCCATTTGATGTATGGTCTCGTCGTTTTCAGGGTCAATAGCACTGAGATCAGTACCGGTTGCCATTGGAGTGAATACAGGTTTGCAATCAGTCATGCCATAGCGAGCAAGAACTTTGTCAATGTATTGACGCTGATTTAGTGCAATTGTGCGCTTTTTGCGGTCACGGACAACTTCAATTCCGAGCAGATATTTAGCTGGGCCCAGGTCTCGCATTTTGAAGCTGGAAGAGAGTAGGCTTTTGACTTTCTGAGAGAACTCTTTTGTGGTGGCAGCAATGAGAAGATCATCGACATAAACAACCACAAAACATGTCTGTTTCCCATCTTTGTAGACATAAAGACAGGTTTCTGAGTTCAGCCGATGGAAGCCAAGCTTCAGGAGTTTTGAATCCAAGGTTCGGTTCCAAGTTCTCCCTGCCTGCTTAAGACCATATAAAGATCGCTTCAAGCGCCAGCAATGGCCATCTGGAATCTCAACACAGTTCGGAGGCATCATATAGATTTCCTCCTGAAGTTCACCATTGAGATACGCTGTGGAGACATCCATTTGGTCAAGCTCTAGATTATGCTTTGCAGCAAGAGCACAAATGATGCGAACAGACTCCAAATTTGCAGTGGGAGCGAAAACCTCCTTGTAGTCAATGCCTTCTTTTTGTGTATCCCCTCGGGCAACAATGCGGACTTTAAATCGTGCTGGCCGACCATTTTCGTCCCGTTTGACCTTTGGCACAACTTTGGACTTGATTGGCTTAACACCTTCAGGAATTGGAACAACATCGTAAACATCGTTCTCCTGGAAGGCAGCAAGTTCTTCATTGAGCCCTGCAGTCCACTCATCAGCATTAGGACTGTTCATGGCTTCCTGCCAGCTGGCTGGATCAAGGGGATCCTGTGCAGCGAAAGCTTCTGCAATAACATCATCAAGACTTGCAAGAAGTACTGCTGCAGGTACATCAACACCTTCATCATTTGAGTCAGGTTCTGCTGTAGGCGATGAAGGAGGTGTTTCATATGCATCTTTTCGTGCTGCAATTTCTGCTGCACGCTGAGCCTTTGTTTGACCCTGTTGTCCTTCTGAAATGCGCTCATATTCAGCATTTGGGTGTTTAGCAGGTGCACGTTGACGAGTTGATTTTCTGGAGGGTTCAGATCTGACACCAGCAACTTTTCGCAATGGTGGATTTCCCCTCTCAGAAGGGTGTCCAATAGATGGACCATCATCTGGTGATGAAGGGGGATCAGCCTGAGGTAAACTGTCCCCTGGTGGAGCCACAGAGATTTGAGGCCCCCCCACTGAACCTGGTATAGGTTGTGTGAGAGTATCCTCGTCATCATCATCATAGTATGGTGTATCTCTGGGCAGTAGACTCTGAGAAACCTTCTCAAATTCCTCTCGAGAAGTAGCCACTGGCTCTAGTGGAGGTTGCACTACAGTGGATGGTTCATCATCATTAAATTTGACATGCTTTGAGGTTATGATTGAACCATATGTTCCGTCTTTGTTGATGACAAGCAGATCATATGCTTTACTGCCTTCATGATATCCAACAAAAACACAGTGTTCTGCTTTATCTCCAAACTTCTGTTTATGACGCTTCTCTTTTGGAATGAGAGGATATGCTCGACATCCGAAACGGTGCATATGGTGAACATTCACTGGCCGATCAAATAATTTCTCATGTGGAATGCGAAAGTTCTGAGAAGAGGTAGGAGTGCGATTTATAGTATATGCAGCTGCACGTAAGGCTAAAATCCAGAATTTTCGAGGCAACCGGGAATCAATGAGCATTGTTGTTGCCCGTGTGACCAGGGTTTGATTCATACGCTCGGCAACACCATTCTGTTCCGGTGTGTAAGGCGCAGTTACTTCATGTATGATTCCAAGTCTCCTGAATTCTGCCTCCATCTGTTTAGATGT